GGCATATTGATTTTTGACTACTGGGGATTACAGATCCTAGAGCTTTAGGGTCATATAACCCTGACTGTCATGATTAAGAGTGATCTCATCTCCATCTCAGTAGTGACTGTTTCATCTCCCTATATTTACATTCTTCTCCCCTCTTTTTCTTGGGCTTTTCAATAGATTTAAACAAAATGGCTATCGGCCTCTGGCTTCAGCGTGGTTTCTCTCACCAACCATTCAGACATTTTCCTCATTCCTCATCATCACTGCGTGAACTATCAGCCTCGTACAATTCTTGGCCAATGGCCATATTAATTTTCTACTTGAAAGGACACAAATAAAATACTGCTTGTGACGAATGTAGGAGGGGGAGCTTGGGGAATAGTTGTTCGTCTTATTGCATAGTAATTAGCTTGGCAAACTGAAACTGTAACATGATTAAATCTGATACCTAGCCAAATTTGCCAAAAGCAAAACAAACTCTCATTTTGTTAGAGATGTTAAATGGGTTTTTAAATAGTGGCTATCGACAGTTCTATTTGCCCTTTTGGAAATGGTACGGGCAGTGTGACATCAGAGATCTTTGGTTTCCATGGTGATTATTAGTGATGGCATTTCAGATGTTGTGGTTAGCTTTTACAGTATAATTCCTTGCACCTTACACCATACATGAGGGAAGAGAGAAATGGCTTTATCTTGACAGGTCTGAAGAAAAGAATGCTCATCACTTAAGTCAATAAATATCGTTTTAAAGTAAATACAATTTCTTAATCTTAAACAGAAGTGTGTTGACAGAAGACACATGAGTAAAGTAGTGAAAGACACTTAATACTCGTGGATTTAACAAGGAGTAATTAATTGCTTAGATATTTCAGCAGCAATTAATGGTTATTTTCAGCCTATGCATTATTTTATAAACTGGTTGTTCTTTTAACACTGATTTATATATTTTTATATGTAGAAAAAGAATATTTTCTTACTCTGAAGCAATTAATCCTTGGTGGAGAAATAATCTGTGGTCTAGGTAGGGAGAAAAACTAATTTTTCCGTGGTGTACAGACCATTCTTGCCTGGCCCTCTGAATGTTCCCAGAAGACAAGAGACATCTCAGAGTCTCGTATTGGGCCCCTTGACGCATTTAGTCATTTAGATGCTGATGAAGCCAAATACTTCACTTTCCCTTTGTTTAAAAGTTTTCACGTTTAAAGCTGATGGTCAACTTTAAAACCCAGTCTAGCAGGGCAATTATATGTACTTGGAAAGAAACAATAAACTTAAAAGTCTTTCTTAATTTGACTTTGATAAATGAGGACAATTTCAATTTTCTCATGTAGCTGTAAATGTAGTACTAGTTTTAAAAAAGATAATCAGCCAAAAAACATATAGTATGTATCTATATACAAAACATACTGAGGTAAGACATAAAAAGTTATTCTTTTAATAGGGAAAATGAGAATATACAGTCTTCTGACCAGTGATTCAAATCAGATCTACTGTATAGTTCTAGAGGCAGAAACAAAAGCCATAAATCTAAGGGACAAAATCCACTGGCAAGATGACAGGAAGTCATAATGAATCTGAACACAAGTTAAAAAAAATTCTACATAAATGCCTACTCTTACAGTAAGGGTGACCAAGATGATAAATGGTCCTGTCTCACCCCAGCTCAGCTACTAGTTATTCTAGGACAGAATATGGAGGCCACCACTGCATATGGCTAGCAGGAAGACCTCATGGACCCAGAACAAAGATGGATTCACAAATTGAAAACAAGGTCAGAGACAAATGTAGGACCCTTAGGTCACAAAGTATCACTTGTGACCAAACTTTATATGTATCCACAAATCATGGCCAGGATTAATTACCTGTGGGAAACTTTATCATCATCATTTTCATCATCAAACACCCAATCTACAATCAGATTAAGATATGGTATCAGATAAGAATCTACTTAAAAATGTAATCAGTAAAACCTAATGGTCACAAGAACTAAAGAAGTTAAGCTCCAAGAGACAGAATTCCAGGTATTAGAACTATAAAAGATAACCTAATCCCTTTACTTTTCATAAGGAAAGAGGTACAGTAGCATTATCCTAGATCACAAGGGCAGCTACTAGCAGAGCAGGAAAGGAATCCAGCCCCTTGCCTACCTCTCCCAGTCTCTGTCTGTCCTTGCATGCCATGTGGAATGCAGTACTCTTCACAAAATGCAGCCCACACATCCCCAAATGCCACACATACAGGGATTTTAATTTTTAGGGAGCAACACACATAGGATAATTGACTTTTTACAAAAATAAATTAAATAAATTAAATTACACACACTCACACTATTGTACTCAAATCAGAAAAACTGAAGCCAAAGACAACAAACATGGAAGGAAAAAAACATTAAAAATATATCGTAATAACAAACACTTTACATCTACCCTCCCGGAAGCTCTGAATAATAAGACATTTCAGGTATCTGATTCGGAAACTTCAATAGTAACATATCGCTAAAATGGAGAAATAAAATGCATCACGCACAAAACAAATGTTCTTAGTGGTTTTCATTTAAAGGGTGACCAGAGCTTGAGTCAAACAGAGAGCCAAGGTCCTATGTGGTTTCTTCTGTAAAGAGCAATGGTGGGGCTTCCGGGCAGGGAAAGGAGGTAACACTCACCATGTCCTTTCTCCCAAAGAATTCACATCAGTTTAAGAAGGCACCCCAGTACAGAATATAGTAGATGTACTGTTCCAGCTAGAGGGTTCTCCCCCGACTCTGAGAAAGTCTCTCCATGTTATTTTAGAAACTCTCCATGCAGATGATCTAAAATTGAGCTATCATTTCAATTATGATAACAAGCTAGAAAGGGGACAGATGCTGATTTCCACTTAGAAAGACACCCTGCTCAGAAAAGCAGAAACTGAGGCTCTTAGGAGCAATTAGCTATGACCTCAGGCAAGTCAGGGGTCTTCTGCGTGCAACATTTCTAAGGAGATGGAAGTCAGGGAGGCAGATGAAATAATGCTGAGCAATGATGGAATATGGATGCGCTTCAGTTTCAGGTCCTCGCAGACATCAGAAAATCACGTAACTGTACATCAGACTGTGGGAGTGTGGCACTGCTACAGAGAGTTATCATTACTGCAACCACTGGGAAGAGACAACTGGAAGAGAATACTAAAATCCTGCTACTCAAATGTGTTCTGAAGACAATCATGGGTATCCCCAGCTGCTGGTTAGAAATGTAGACTTTCTGGCCCCAGCCTGACTTCATGAGTTAGGATCTGCATTTTAACAAGCTCTCCAAGTGATTCCTAAGCACATTAAAGTCTCAGAAGTTCTCTAATAAAAATGCTGACCATGTGCTGGAAAAAGGGGCCATGACAATTTCAGGTGTTATCAAGCCTGCACAGATGTGTATGCAGAATGTGTCTCAAGTCAGGCTGACTCTTTCTTGGTACTTCTGGTCAACCACAGGTTATACACCTGAGAAGTAAACATTTTTTTATTATAGCTATCAGTACCAGTCAGGTGACTCTCATTTAGTTAGCTCTTCTATGTGGGACTGAAGATGATAAGGAAAAATATATAAAGCTAGACATGTTAAGAAATGCTTTGTTAATCTGAGTAATACCAAAAAATACAGCCAGACTAAATGGCTAAGTGAGCCTGGGTGATTATATTTTCATAATTATAATCATTAAGACCTGGGAATGGGTACTGACTTACTGAATGGCAACAACTTACTGACTTAAAAAAAAAAAATCTCATTTCAACTTTAGTTACAGTTGAATTTTCAGCAAAGATTATTTTCACAGAAGGTATAGTTTAGTTTTTGGAATGTGGCAGTCTGATGGCAAAGCAAATATTCTGGGGAAATAAACCACATACACTTTGATCCTGGCTTTTACCGTCTGAGCTTCCTACTAGGAACTACAATTTTGGTAGGGACACAACACTAAAGGTAGGAGTGAAGGGGGTAATGTGTTATTTTCTGCTCCACTAACACCAGAATCCCATTTCTTGGCCACCTCCCCATTTATCCCATGGCCTCGGTAAGGAGTAGGAGAGCTTCTCACCGAGTGCAGAACTCGCTATCCCCCAATGGGTGCCTCTGCATACGCAAGTTCTAAGCTGGAGGAATCTAGAAAACATAGGTGCGGGAAGGACTCTCTGACCTTCTCTGATGCAGCAGGTCCTCCGACCCGATGGGAGAGGAGCATGTTCATCTCTGAGGGTGGACAGATGCTGGGAGGGATCTCAAGGACAGGCCTCGCTGTTTCCCGTGCCGGTCACCCTTAGTTCACACTCCGTGGTCCTATCATATTTTCCCAAGATGTTCACTCTTGATCAAACCTAGTCTGAAACACTTGGGTTTAACTATTTTTTTGGGTCTTTATTTCTCTATGAAGGCTCCTGTGTTCTGTAGAATTTATATGAAATAAATCTGTATGTTTTTCCCTTGTCAATTTGTCTCTGCCAGTTTAATTTTTAGACCCAGCCAGGGTCCCTAGGGGCTGAGGAAGGTTCCCGCTCCCCCCCATTTCCAGACAGGGGAAAGCTGTTTCCCAGGAACACTGTCACGGAGAATAGTACTGAAGGAGCAAGAAGTCTGCCTTTAAGCATCCTGTACTGGAACTGAGGTTCTATTTCAATTTTCTGAACAATAGTGATCATCTCCAGACTGCTGTACATTTTTCTAGGATCCGTATCCCTCTAAATCCATTTCCCCAGATAGTAACTGGGCACAAAGCACACAAGAAGAGCTGACTCCGGTGGCCAGCACGATGGCCAGCGGAGAGCAGGAGGGCTGGCTCTGCGCTCCGAGATGGAGCTTCTCACAGCTGCAGCCTGCCACCTGCTTTCATGCACATCCTGAGTGCTGGACACAAGTCCTTTGCTATCAGCCCAGCCCAGGAATGAATGCAGAAATCACGGAAAGGGGCAAGAGAGTACTGAGCTAAATCTCACCATTGTACCAAGCTGAAAAGGTGAATGAATCACGAACCTTGTCCTCCCCGGTTACCTGATATAACAGCTATTTTCCCAGATCCGTGTTCTTCTAGAGCTATTCTTTCTGCTTCCTCCATCAGCAGCATGCCAAACCCCTAGAAGGAGAAACAGAGGGGTTGGAAGATAACAAAGGGGAGGTAGTCCAATAACAAAGGCCCGTAAAACAAGAAGGCTAGAATTTAGTAGTCGCTAAGATCTGTTATAAAGGATGACAAAAATCTTTTTATAAAAAGAAAAAAAAAACCCCATTCAGTTATACCAAAACTACATGGTAGCTGACTAGTAAAGAAGGTTAAACTCTCCAACAAGAGCCACCAAACAGTACTCTGGATAGATTCTAGTCACAGCAAGGGTGTTATTCCCACTTAACTGTCTTATCTTTTTAGAGAAGTCCCAGGGAGTCTCCAGGGGATGGGTCTTTGGCACTAAGCTTTTATTTATTAAAGTCCATCCTCCACTTTCTAAAGAGGTTTAGAAACCAAGCAAGATTCTTACATTATCATCAATTTTGGGGCTTACCCTAGATCCACCTCAATGTTTTTAACACGTTTTTCTGAAAGTTTAAAGAGTTACTCATTTTAGGTTGTTTGGGATCAGAGTACCACTTTATATACTACAGTTAACATTTATGGAGTGCTTTAGCATTTTATGTGCTTTCATATCATCTCACTGGATTTCACAGTAAAGTCAGTCATATAAAATTGCCAACAATAGATGATTTCTGACTTTCAAAAGCAGCAATTTCATATGGCTCAGTCCATATAGTCAACGTGGCTCAATCTGCTTGTCCTTCCCTCTAGCCCTATCACTCCCAAAGGGAGCAAAGTGAAGAGAAAACATGGGGGAATGTCTAAAATATAGATTCTTTTTTTTCTTTTGGTACCGGGGATGGAACTCGGGTCCTTGCTCTTGTGCAGCAGGCAGCGAAACCGCTGAGCTAAATCCCCAGCCCTAAAACATAGATTCTTTTGTTTTTACATTCCCTTCCCCATTTTCTCCTCTTTTGCTTCCTCTTTCTCCCCTCACCCAATTCTTTTTCTCTTTTCTTACTGTGGGCGATTTCTTAATTATAAGCCAAATAGAAACAGAAAATAGGGTACCTGATGCTGAAACTTAGTAGGATCCCGGCTGCTCACGGGGACCACACTTCCATACACATGCAGCTCCCGCACGATGGAAACACCTCCACCCAGCTCGAAGCGGAAGGTTTCCTCTGAACACTTCCGCAACCGCAGGAGGCCGATCAGTATGTCTTGTTCAGGGTCTTCATATGACAGGAATGTCTCCCAGCCACCATTTGCAACATAATCTCTCCTCACCAACTCAACCTGTTGAATAAAAAGCCACAAGAAATGATTTTTCAAAACTACAGAACCAAAATTATTTTTATAATTGTATGTATTTATTTAGGCTAATATTCAGTTAGAAATAAAGAAGAATCATCCCTAATTATGTTTCTTTTTAGTTGTCTCCTCTCAAATAGCATTGAGATTAAATAGGAGTTCATGCTTTATTCATGGACCATTAAAATGGAGAACAATTTTATAAATATTTGAACTTAACCTTGAGATTTACATATATATACATATATATACATATATATATATGCAGCTCAGTAAATGCTTCTGTGTATTTAAATCTTTGATTGTCCATGAATTGTCTCTAGGATAAAAAATACACATTATGTCACATTGACAGCTCTTAGGAACACTCCTTCTTTGTCCCCAAATTGTCAGATGTTCAATGTTTTCATTTTTTAATCCTTATTTCCTCCAATAAAGCCTGCTTTAGGAGGAAAAAAAAAAAAGATACCAGTTTGTTGTTCCTTAGGCAGGTTATCCTCAAAGTGAGGTCAGCAATTCAGACCAACATTTTATGCCTTCTCAACTTAATGTTTGCTAAATAACTGGATTGCGTACGAATCTGACAAAATGATTAACTGGGTTGGGTCTAATTTTTCCCTCAACAGATCCAAAATGTATAAAATGTCAATTAAATAAGAACAGAAACATCAATTCAGAGATCATACATATTTCAGCTTTTCTCAAACAGGGGTCCACCAGAGTTACACCCCAGAGAATCCTGTACACAGCTAGACACTATAGATGTGGAGGAAGGAAGTTAATTCAATACATAACAGTGAAGACTTCAGGGCATTGTGGATCCCCTGCTGATAATGCCATCTATTCACGTGACTAGCACCAAAAGGCAATACCTTGACAGTTATACACAAAGAGTCACGCAGTAAGCTCTACCTGAGGGTAGCCACTAGCAAGTGGTGATCCACACTTGAGTTAGTTAGAGAGGGATAAAATTAAACCCTTAGTTCTTTATTTGTAGTAGCCATATTCCAAGGGCCTGATGGTCCCATGCAAGGAGTGGCTACTTACGAGACAGCTCAGATCCAGAACATTTCTCACCCGCAGAAAGTGATGGACAGTGCTGATCTAGAATGAGGGACAGATTCAGTTCATAACCTGCCTCTGCCACAATTCAGCGATCCTCCCATTTAGCTTTCCTGACTTGACATCTGTCTCTAACCTTCAATTGCTCTCTGCTCTGAGTTATTCAACCAAGAAGCCAAGGAGATCCAGCCTTGGCAAAGATCTAAAAGAAACTAACCTGGTATGGCCGTACTTTGTGATGAATTTCTTGGATTCCAACCTCTCTGGTTCTTACATCCCGACACTGTCATTAAAAAAAAAAAAGTTGGGGGGGCAATTAAATTGGTAACTAATACAATGTTTATTTAAAACTCTTTTTATGAAATTAAACCCTGGGCTCAAAATAAAGTTTGGACATAACTTGCATTGACATAAAATAATCGAATTTTAAAAAGGAACCCATCTTTAATAAATCTGGTGATGGGGAAACTGGAATGGAAGTTTATGAAGTTGTACTTCTTTGCTTTTAAAATAAATTTAGAATTCAAAAGAGACCAACATGTAATATAACCTTGGGGGTAAGACATAAGTCAAAGTCAGAAATAATTTTTTCCAGTGGATATAACTACCTGAAAGTATAATCCCAAACTGTGTATGCAGAAGAGTAAAAAGCAAATTCCTGACATATAAAATCATCTTATTCAATTACATGTCTTATGGTATATTTTTTCCTATATGTATAATGAAGTATAACATTGTTTTCAGGATCCTAATATTTTCCACTGTAGAGAAAATATCACTGTAGGAAATTTGGCATCATGAAAGCTACTTTTCTAATAACATATTCATGAAGGATGTTATATATGTATGGAATTCCATGAAGAAAATAAGAGCTTATTATTCAAGTCTACAACAAAACAAAACAAAACAATGAAAGCTATTTCCATACCTCAGGAACCAGAATAAGACAATACTTTGCTGGTGTAGATTACATAGCAAACAAGGGTCATCCAGCTCTGTACCTGCTGATCTAGTAAATGTGGATGCTGTCTTTTCACTACGACAGTCCTATACAGTAGTTTGCATGTCGATGTATCTGTTACACGCTCTCAACACTCACTTGCTGCTTCTTTATATTTTTTTGGGGGGGGAGCATGATATTTTAATGGGAGAGATGGTATACATTTCCCTTCTGGTGAAGATGCTGCCTATGGGAATGAGACCTCTCTTGGCTATGACTGAACGCAAGTCTTTGGACTCAATCCCAGTCCACTTAACAGAGGCCAGATTTACGAGGGGGCAGGCTCAGGGAGGGAGACTGTCAGTAACAGGCAAGGCGGGGACTGAGGGGATGGAGAACACCACACAATTTCATTCGGTGCTGTTAATTACTCTAAATGGATCTTCTTCTTTTCTAGAACTTCATATTATTCATCTTGGTTTTTCTTTTTCGTAAAGTAGGCCAATAATATTTATGAACCTCATTTTGGACACTGTTCTAAAGTTTCTTCGTAGTAACTTGAGTGAGAGTATAAGACGCCCAGGTAGTCCACAAACAGTACGAAGTCCTTGGAGCAATGTCTTCCACAGCACAGTCTGGGTTAATTGTGCACGAGAACCATGTCCAGAGTCTGACAGCTGCTCCAGCCCCGCCCAACCAACTGAACCCCAATCTCTGAAGGCAGAGCCCCTAAATGGCGCCCCAGCTGGACACCACTCCTGGTTATGTCTCCAGCAGCTTGAAGAAGTTCCAGGGCACTGAGTCTCAAACCTCACTACCACTTGACAGACTGAAGAATCACTTATGGAGACTTTAAACTCAAGGCCACCAGAGAGGAGGTGCCGAGTAAATATTCAAAAAGCAAGTAAGTGGCTTGAATAAGCACGGGGGTGGGTTGTGGTGAGGCAGCCAGGTCTATATGGGGCGAAAATATTGTCTGATAATGATTTCCGGCACATCATCCTTATCTGTTCAAATGATCCCAATTTCTTTTGAGGAATCATCTTATTCTTCTATAACTTCTGATTCTATACTTTATAATTCTAAATTCTATAATTTCTTATTCTTCTATAATTTATATTATATTTGATCAAGAACCAAATACCCACTACTTCAAAAGAAAAAGTGTTTTGAAAAAGGAGTTGAACACATAGTAGGCAATCACAGCAGCATAGTAGGCAATCATAGCAAACTATGAAATCATAGTTTTCAATCACAGGTAGAAAAAAACCAATCTTTACACTGACAAAGCTGTGCTCGTTGGTAGGAGAAAGCAGAAGCAAAGAAACAGGAGTCAGTCTTTGCTGCCACTTCCTTCGGCTTCTGCATGTTGCAGGATGCCCTTAACATATGAAAACTTTCTGATCTGACTGTTAAGAGTGGTTTGTTGGGTTTTTTTTGGTACCAAGGATCGAACTTGGGACCTTGCGCTTGCGAGCCAGGCAGCGGCACCTGTAAGAGTAGTTTTTAAGAGGCACTGTACCAAAGATTTTTGTCTAGGGTGACTTTTTTCTCAGCAGCATGGTGTGGCAACTGTATGTACCCATACCTGTATTCCAAGGTCTTTCATTCTTGCAAATGCCAGCTCTCTCAGGTTGCCATGCTCCACTCCCGAGCTGACTAAGGGCATAGGAATGTCTCTGGAGAAGAAAGACAACAGCTGTGGCAAAACACAACTCATTCTCCATTGCAGTTAAGGGAAGGATATTAAAACAAAAGTGGAAAGCAAAAAAATCCCAAAAGACTATGAAGCAGACAGGAAAGCTGAGGCCAAAGAGCCTAACCAGGAAGGAAGGTCCAGAGCTTCCCCAGGCCTCAGTTTTCCAACTTACAAGACAAATTTCTGTCCACTTCTCAGAGTTTTGGTGAGAAACACCTGACAGAAATCATTTTATCAAATTTGAAAGTACAAAGCCAAAGCCCAAATGCCCAATAACTATTACTAAGAATTTCTGGCTGAAGAGACATTTATAATAAATAAAACATGAAATGAAATGGTTTAATAAAGTTCAATCTGTTTAATGAGGTGACACAGTGATTTCTATCAATGCACTAACTTTACAGCTTACAAACACTCTTCCAGGTAGTTGCTGGATGAAAGGAACCAGGAAACTCAAATGCCGGGCACAGCCAGTAACCAGTCTCAAGTAATACATTTTTCTTTCTTCACTTCTCAAAAATCTGGATTAGATGTGACTCTGCACTAAAACAATAACAGCTTGCCTAAAGACCAGAGGAGATAAAATTCACCCCTTAGCATTAATATAGCATAAAGTGCTGGGTGTCAAGAAGACTTCAATCAAAAGCTGAAGTTATGAGTTCCATTTTAGTGGTTTCAACCACCACCTCTAGAAAAAACAATTAGTATACATTAGAGTATCACTAAGAAAAAAAAATCCAAAGAAAGAACATGTTCAGCACTTCTACTTTCTGTTCAAACAATAAATCTCCAATTTGTTATGCCTAATATTTGGTTGATCAGAAGATGTGAAAAATATGCCAGTTATCTTTCCTTCTCATTTTCCTTTTGCACCAACTTGAGTCTTTTTCTTCTCTTTTCACTCATTCCTTCATATGTTAAATAGTTATCTAATCCATCCATTCTAGTCTAATAAGATACTCTGCACTCAGAAGTATCAAAAAGCAATCAATTAGCATAAAGAGCTACACGTAAGTCTATCAGGCTCTGAAAGCTGGTAGTTTCCATAAAAGCACTATAAAGACGGAGACACACCAGGGGATTACAAGTGAGAGTGTCATTAGAGTTAAGAGTTAGTAAATACAGTGTGGTTTACTTACGGTTTATAGAAAAATCAATTTCTATTTTTGGAACTATAATTTCTTAAAATTAAATCTACTGTAAAGTTAGTAATCAGATGAAACTCAAAAGTCTATTAATGGAAAAAGTATGGTTTATTTAGCAAGAAAACTGAACATATTGTATAAATTTTATTGGGTTTTTTTGGTACCAGGGATCAAACTCAGGACCTTGTGCTTGCAAGACAGGCAGCAGCGTCACTGAGCTAAATCCCCGGCCCAAATTTTACTGTTTTATACTATATAAGTCAAAGGTAAAGTCTTGTAAATACCCTTTTTAACTTTAAAATATTCTAAATAATTCACAAATATATTAAATATAACAATATATCACTTATATGAACATATAAATATATTTCACTAAAATTTTCAAACATTGTTATACATGGTATGAAATTAATCTGATAAAATCAACTGGCAACCATTACATGAAAAATAAAATTCAATATCTGTTATTCATGGGAGTTGCTGTGAATATTGCAACAGTTGCTGTGAATACTGAGCTAGGTAATACTGAAACACTGCTCCTAGAGAACAGAGTTAGGTTCCTATGAAACCTAAATAACTTTCTTCAACTGATCAATACATAACCTTGTTTTAAGTGTGTTTCTGTTCAAAGACACCTATTTGACATGTGGCCATAGCATTGTAACTCATGCCTCATATAAGCTTACCTAACACATATTTTCTTTTCTTTTTTGGTACTGGGGATCGAACTCGGGACCTTGCGCTTGCAAGGCAGGCACCGGAACCACTGAGCTAAATCCCCAGCCCCTAACACATATTTTCTTAACATTTTCTTGAGGGCACATGAAAATAGCATTTTAAGAACAGAGAGGAATATAAGTAGAAAGATGGAAACAAACAAAGATCCAAAAACACAAAAACGAAGAATACCCTTGACAGGCTTATCAGTAGATGGATATGGCTGAGAAAAAAAACCTCTGAGGGGCCGGGGATTTAGCTCAGTGGTTCGGCCACCTGCCTTGCAAGCGCAAGGTTCTGAGTTTGATCCCTGGTATCCGGAAAAAAAAAAAAAAATCTCTGAGAACATTATCAAGGAAACCTCAAAACTGGAAAAGCAAAAAGAACAAAGATGGAAAACAATACCAGTGGCAACAACAACAGAATATCCAAAGGACTGTGCAAAAACTACAAGAGATTCAACTTGCGTGCAATGGGAATAACAGGAGGAAAAAAGAGAAAAGAATAGGAGAAATATTTGAAACAAATATTTGACTGAGAATTTCTACAATCTAATATCAGATGCAAGACCACAGATCCAAGAAGCTCAAAGAATACCAAACAGGATAAATGTCCCCAAAACCTACTTAGTCATATCATTTTCAACCAGTAGAAAAGCAAAGGTAATGAAAATGTTCTGCAAGAAGCCAGAGGAGGAAAATACCTTACCTACAGACGAACAAAGATTAAGAATTACATATAACATCTCTTTAGGAACCATGTTAAAAAAAAAAAAAAAGAACGAAATCATGTAAAAAAGAAGAGTGGAGTGAGATACTTAAAGTTGAGAAAAAAGAATCCACTAACCTGTAATTCTATCCTGTGAAATCATCCTTCGAAAGGATAAGGGAGAAATAAACACTTTCTCAGACAAACAAAAGTTGAATTTGTTGCTAACGCATCTGCTCTGCAAGAAATGTTAAAAGTTCTTTAGCAAGAAGGAAAATTACAGAGGTCAGAAACTCAGATCTACATAAAGAAAAGCACACTGATCCAAACTAAGTGAAGAATCAAAACTAATTTTTTCATCTTAATCTAATGGGAAATCAATCAACAAAACCAAAAGCTTGTCCTCTGAAAAGAGAAATAAAATCAAAACCATCTAGCCAGGATGACTAAGGAAAAGAGAGGGCAGAAATGACTAACATCAGAGATGGAATGGGGACATCACCATAGATCCTATGAGCATTCAAAAGAAAACCAAAGAATGCTACATGCAGTTGGAGTGTGCTCCCAGGGTCCATTGGGATTAGAAGCTTGGTCCCCAGAATGGTAGGGCTGGGAGGTGGGGCCTAGTGGGAGGCCCTGAGGTCACTGGGGGCATGTCCTTGGATGGTAGCGCTCTGGTTGAAAGGAGCAAGCCTGGTGCACTTTGTGATGGAAGTGCTCCTGTACACGCTCCTGCCCCTGCTCTACTCAAAGTGACGCAGCCCGTGGGTGGCCTTCACCATAGAGCCTGCACTATGCCACTGCCTCTAGATGCTGTCAATATACACAACTAAGAAATGCGTGTATATGCATCCATAGTGTGCATTTACATGTAATATACAAACATTCATAACTGTTTCTACATGTAAATTTAAAAATGTGCAGGTTCATACTGTTAATTCCAGTATGAACCATGCTTCAGTGTTCTTTTCAGCCTTCCACCTTTCAGTATATATAAATCCCTTCAGTGAGAAAGGTGGCTTGAGCTTTAGGATATTTACCCATTTGCTAAATCAATTAACTTATGTGCTCAATGCAACCAGTCTTCCAAACCCTCTCTGCCTTTCCTCCCTTACTCTGCCCTGTACCCAGTGCCAGGCATGCTGCTACCAGCAACTCCATGGCACTGCCTCCACAGGCTGAAGGAAAGGCAGCAGGAGTGGAATGGAACAGGGGCTCTATAAGTATTTTAGTAACAAACTAGCACTTTTAAAAAGACATGGCCGGGCTGGGGATTTAGCTCAGTGGTTTTGCTGCCTGCTGTGCAAGCGCAAGGGCCCGAGTTCGATCCCCGGTACCAAAAAAAAAGACTCTCAGGCTGGGGATGTAGCTCTGTAGTAGAGCACTTACCTGGAGATCCTGGTTCGATCCTCAGCACCACAAAAATAAAAAACCCTAAAGTCTCAGGAGACATAAACTCACCAAGGAAGGTTTTATCAGACAATGGTAACAGGCAGAACTATCTGACAGCAAGAATGAGCAACAGGTTGCTGCATAATTTGCTTCCCAGTGCAAAATGAGAACATGTGGCTTCTTATTTTAAAAAATTATTAAGTTCAAGATGGTGACAGCTAAGTGCAAGGGTCTAAGAGAGGAACAGGTCCCCTGCTCTGAAGCTGGTCTTGAGGACCAGAGAGGGCCTGGCAACACAGGGATGCACAAGGATGCTGACAGTTCACAAATGTCCCTAAGTTTATGTCTGTCACTACAGAAAAGAAACGTGGCTTTAATGGTGTTGGGTAATGACGTGCCTGGATGCCACCAGATGAAAGTTTTTCACATTAAGGAATAGAAATGTGGCAGCCATCAATTTCAGTGATGAAGTCTCTTTCACTGGAACTGAGGGGAAGTAACCTAGACCGAGCCGCTTCCAGGGCAAAGCACTGTACAAAGCAGTCCAGGCTGCATAAACAGACAATGTTACGCTCTCCCAGGAGTTCAAAACCCAGGCAAGATGACTGATCTTCTGAACTTGCTGCAGCCATCTAGGCAGGAGTTAAAGTTATTTTTAGGGGCTTCAACTTCATCCAATCTAATTTCACTTTCTTGGGTGGAAGAGAGATTACATATGAGAATATTCACTTTTCTATTTTAATAGGTAATATTTCAAGCTTACAGGTGCTGATATTTGCAATTTGCTCATCAAAAACCTTTCAAAGCAATGTCTAGAGCTGTTTTTATCTGAAGTTTCTCTTTTTTCAGAAGCATGTTTTGGCTGCAAATTGGTATTTCTACTCCAAGCCTCCAAGTGATTTAAACATCACATCAAGGCAGACAGCTGTCAAATAGCCCATGGGCAGCAGCAGTTTAATGCGGTTCCATCATTTCCTGGACAGAATTTTACACTTAATCACTGACTGCACCCTTCCGG